TGGTAGTGTCTAAACTATCAGCTGTTCAAACGAATTGAAAGTTGAATAAGCAAAAACAAAAGTACAACTGCATTTTCACTTTATAAAATATATCGTAGCGAAGAAATATCAAGTTTTGTAAGTATTTTTGTTAATTTGCTTGTGTATTTGTGTATAATTGATCAGATCGCCAAATGATAAAAAAAAACTGCTATGTAAAGAAAAAACGGTCCACGGTGTATTTGATAGTTTTTACCCGAAAAGCATTCCCGTACTTTTTGGTTTTTCTCTTTCTGAGAGCAATTTTGCTTTTTTACAGTTTTCAGATGTTTTATCCAGAAAAGTTGAGGCACGAAACTAATACTAGAGTTTCGGAAAACTATGCCGATAATTTCAAAAAATACATTCCTGAAGGTGACCTATGTACATTAGACCACGTCAAAAAACTTAAACACCCTGCAATGCGACCGTCATCTGCTTGGATAAATAAAAATTTAAAACCAATCATTAGTCTCTACGGGAAGGCATTGGTGTTGGTGAAGATATTAAAAATAATTTTTCTCAAATGGAGAATAACGAATATTTAAAAAAAATTTGAAGGACCAACACAGATCTCTATTATTTAAGAATATCAAGTAACAGTTGTATGTCCATTGTAATTTTTCAATCTTTGAAATAAACCGATTAAAAAAAAAAACAAAACATTAAACTATATTTAAATTTATTGCTTATCTAAGCGCTTAAAATGCATTTTTTCTTGCTTATTTTCTTCGGCCCCCTGGTAATGATCCTCCATGAATCTACCCGATAATTTTAAGAGGTCGCGCATTGAGAGTTTACTGTTCCCATAGGAATTACACGTAAGAAAATGAGTTAGTCTCTTTTGAGGTCAATAAGCTTCTCCTCCGATTTGTCGTTGCCACACAAAGCGGAGGGGGACCTACAGATTTACGGCGACTCCGAACGGCGATTGTATTTTTATGAGAAGCTGTTTTTCATGGCAGAAATGCACTCCGAGGTTTGCCATTGCCTGCCGAGGGACGACCGCTGTTAAGAAAAAATCTTTTTTTTCCTATATTTTCTGTTTTTGCGATGTTGCTTTGACCAGGGCTTGCACCCAGGGGTACTGATGAGTGGAAGCGCGCACTGCTTACCACTACACCACAGCGGCCGATGCCTTACATTCCAAAAAAATTTGTTTTGGTAATTTTTAGATATGACCCAAATATGACGAGGGATAAGGAAAAGGATAATTTCGGCATTTAAAGAATCTGAACCTGCATTAATGCATGCCATCAAATAATGTACAAGAAATGGGTAAAGAATTTTCTTGTGTCATAGGCAACCCATGTTTGCAACAGAAATATAATAGGGCCCTAAGTCTAAGGTGGATTTTTGCATGGGAATCTCATTTTTGTGAAAACTGTAGATAGATCGTATTGTATATAAGTCCTCGTTTTATGAGTGCTGGAATTATCACTTCCAGAGTTATACAGAGGTGAATTTTCAATTTTTTAAATTAATTTACTACCCTGTCGAAAATGGAACTTCTTTAAAAGCAATTTAAAAAGTACTTTTTTACGAACTACAAGTGTTTGGATTTCTTCCTTTTTTCATATAAGCAACCAACTTTATTAACATGGCCATGTCCTAGAAGAAAACCAATTATCCGACTCTGCATTTTATTTAAAATGCATTTGGTTAAAAGAACTTCAAAGTCGTGTTTTTCGTTTGAATACGCTTTCGTTCTGCACTTCACAGATGCTTTTTTATATTTAGAAGACAAAAAAATAAAAATATTTTAACATGTTGCCTCTGATGGGATTCGGATCCGCACCTTCTGGAAGCTAACAAATAACAGCAAGGTGTCTTTAGGCGCATCCCTGCAAAGGCGGGACACTCGCACAGGAAGTATTCGACTGTCTCTTTTGAGCCAGCGTTATCGCAACTGCGACAAAATCTGTTGAAGGGCAATCTCTGTGCACAGTGCATTAAGTTTGTAGGTATTTTCTTTGCTCATTCCTAAGCTTTGGCTTTAAGTGGGTCATAAGACACCCAGAACTGCCGGGTTATCCTTTATTACAGTTTCACCTCTACTTGGCCTTCGAGTGATAAACTTCGGTAATTTTTGTTTTTATCTCCCTAAGCGAGGCGTCCATGTCCACATGGGACGCATTCAGTGCGAACCGAACCTTGCTAGTTTGTCCACTGCCTTGTTTCCGTAAATGTCCCTATATCCCGGGACCCATATTAGGGTAATTACGTATTGATCAGAGATATATGCCAGCTCTCTCCCACTGTCCTTCACTAGTTGCTATCCCAGAAGATTTTCAGATGAATGTTTGCGAACAGATTTCGCACTAAATTTAAATTTATTTTTTTCAAAGTATGCAAAACCATGCATTTACTGCAAAATATGCACTAACGATGATTCGTAAAGATAACTTAACCATTTCATTTGATGATGTCCAATAAAAAGATGCATTTGCATGAGATTCCGAGCCCTACTTGTATACCACCTCGAGATTTGCTGCAGAAAATAGTATATACATACATACATAAAACCAGCAGTTATGGGCTCAATGCGCATATCGATCATTCCCCAGACAGGAAACAATTCGAAAAGGGGAGAAAGTGGCTGAAATTTGGATTTTTGTTCGTTTACCAATTCCATTTTTGGATGCTTGGACGAACCGTTTTTCCACTAAAGTGTGCGGCAGAAACGTATGGACGGACAGACAAGTACCGAAAATTGTTGTCAAACTGATACGTTTTTGGCTGTTTATCTGAAACTTTTCTGATGGAGTTTTTCGTTCAATAGGTACTTCACAGATGCTTTTTATTGTTAAAAAAAAAACTTAAATAAAATTATAAAATTTAGGAAACGCCAGACGGCATTCGAACCCGGCACCTTCTGAAAGCTATCAAATGGTAGCCCGCACTGCAAGTTTGAAGAAGCTGGGAATTACGGTTGATGTTTGCATTTTTTTTTTTTTTTTTTTGTTGCTCATGTTCTTCATATCCGGGAACATAATTCGTATGGAACAAAATATTAACACTGTCAACAAAAAAAAAAATCTCAAAAATCAACGGTAAGTCCTAGCTACTTCAAACTTGCACTTTGTGACACTAAAATTGAGTGGGCTATAAAACTGCATAACTGCTAACTGTTGGCGAATCGATGACGGCTATTATTATATTGGCGATGTGCTGAGTCGATACTTTCAAGTATTGATCGATACTCGGTACCGATTTTAAAAGTATCCAATATTTTCATACTTCGTACCGAATTATTTAGGTTTCTAATAAAAGTGCAAGTAGGTCAAAAATATGGAAAAAGCGGTTCAGGGCAGACTCGGCTATCAAAAACCGAATGTAAATAGAGCTTTTAATACAGATACTTATTCTTACTTTTTTGGTGAATGCTTATTCGAATGAGGTGAAAAGTGGCAAAATAATATTTTACTGCCGCAATAAGTTCAAATTTTTAGCCAATATCGCATATAATAGTAATGAAATAATTTTTTCCTTGACTAAATATACATAATGGCGAAGGTTTAATGTAAAAACTGGTATCAGGTACCGAATAGGAACTATTGGGTACCGAAATCTTTTCGAAGTATTGGGTACAGAAAACTCTGCACTTTATTTGCTGCTATTTCGAAGATCACCACTGGGATCCCAGTGAACGCGATGAAAAAGTTTGATGAGAAGATGTGGTGATCTCCGAAATAGCAACTAGGACTTCTACCATTTATAAACTATTGTTATTTTTTTTTGCACAATTAAAAGCGGTCTTAAGCTCAATAAAAAATTGCATTTTTTTTTGTAAGCGAGCGACAAAAAAAACGCTCAGCCCGAGCACAATTTTTTTAAGCTACTTAAGCAACCCTGTTTGTATCTGGCAAGAAATATGTGATTACTTTAACGGGATTTAGATACAAAAAACAATAGAAATGAGTAATTTTGCGAGGTATTTGCCTAATATATATACTTATTTAAAATATAAGTCACGTATATAAGGAAATGAAAATTTCCCTCCCCACTTTCCCATTAACAATTCACAGTAGAGCAGTTTTTTCACTTACCAACACTACCATTCGTTTGTAGCTCGGTTGCAAAAGAAGGCACCACAGTTTGAAGTGTTTGGCCGAGCTTCTCCTTCGATTTGTGGCGTGCGCCTTGATGTTGTTACGCAAAGGGAAGAGACCCACACTTTTACGCCGACTCCGATTAGAGATTTTATTTTTATGAGAAGCTTTTTTCATGGCAGGGGCGAACGCTCTTGAGAAAAAAAAAACGTTTTTCTATATATATTTTTTTTTTTTGAGGTTGCTTTGACCAGGGCTTGAACGCAGGCCCTGCGGAGTGGAAGCGCACACTGCTAACCACTACACTACAGCGGCTAGTTTAGACAATTTCAATTAAAATTTATTATTTTCGGAATGTTTTTAATATTGTTTTAATACGTATTAATAGTTATTCGCTGTTAGCACAGATACATATGTATATAGTGTTGTTGTTAGTCTGAATGTGACTATGATTTTTAGTTAGTTTCGCTCCATTTACTACATATGTACATATGTAAATGATTTCAAACAAATTATAGGCATTTTTTATTTTGCAAAATTTGTCAAAGATCTTTCTTTTTATTACGAGTAGGTATGGGCTGCTTCTGTAGACATTTGTTGATTTTAATATTTCATTCTTAATGTATCCATCAATGCTCTTCAGTTCTGCTCTTGAGTCATTTAAAAAAAAAAATTGGAATCCGTAGAAGGTATATAAAATGTATCATATTGTCTTCTTCTTCTACTTCTTGTTTGAAAATCTCTCCACTCAATTCACCTCACACCACATCAACCACGTCACGTCACATCACCATTACATACACATACTACGTACGGGCTATCTATCATCGATCATTGCCGCACCGCCGATTATTTCGAACCCATATCTATGTACATATGTCGCTGTCGCATGGGATCAATATATATATATATATATATATATGTATAATTAGATTTTCTTTTGACCTGGTATCAACACTCTTGCGATCAATGTGGCAAGTCATATAAAACGCGAAAAAGTTTGAGTCGCCATCGGCGCTTCGAATGTCGATTTACAACGGAGCGGCCTATATTCCAGTGCCCCTCATGCAATTATGCAGCTAAGCGTAGCGATAATCTAACCAAACACATTAAGACACATTTTGCTAAGATGCAAAAGGAATTCCTGCCGCTGGCAGTGAAGATGCAAAACGCAATACAGAGCCAATTAGAGACCGCATAGACAATGCAGCTATTCCATATATATTTGTCGGTAAGCAAGTGACGACGGCGATGGCATTGGATTTTGGATTATGAGTGAATAAATGATGCAACAACGAAGATGTGGCTGGCGATGTTCACCGTCACCGCTCGTGAACTGAGTTTTGGTCAATTTAGACTTCAGGAAGCTTCAACGAAGTGATAGCTGATTGCACTCATTAGTTTCTAAGTCAGAATAAGAATAGTAGTAAGTCTTTTGCCAGGCGCTTATACGACAAAGAATCTCGTGAGCCTCGGGAGCCACTCCATAAGAAAATGAAAATTTTAGAATTTGCCATTAAAGAAAAAGTTGTTGAACATTATCCAATATATCTATACATACATTGCATATAAAGTGACTCAAACAAGTGTTCACAAGTTGGTTTTTTCTTTTTTGTTTTGAATATTCTCAATGTTTTTCTAGTAAAATTTATTTATTTATTTTTTGTTATTTTTTATACAAAAATATTCTGCACGCTTCAACGAAAACCATATATGTATGTACCTACATCAAATCTTAAACTTTATGCAAATTACAAAAAAAAAAAATTCAACCCATTTTCATCAAAACTTCGACTTTTTAATCTGAATTTGTAGAAAACTTGTGCGTTTTCAGGTTTATAACCCATAATTTTAGTATAATAAATCATAATTTATTTAAAATTTTTTTGCCCGTTTTTCCATATAAACATGAATTTTTATGTAATAAAATAGAATACTAAAAAGCAACGCCATTTTTTTTTTTCGTAATATCTTTAAAGAAAAAATAATAATTCAACTTGAAAATCATTGCGAATATTTAAAAAAAAAAAAATCAACTTTTCAATATTTTTTGAGTCCTTGTACATACTTACATACATACATACATACTAGACAGCATCTCAGGGAAGAAAGATGAATTTGTTTATGAAAATTTTATGGTTTTGGTAAGATTAGCCGCGAAGTATTACAGAGTCTGACATTAAAGGAGGCTATTTAAAAATTAAAATGTGTCCAATTTGTATTGATATTTTTTAACCTACCCAAAAACTACTTTACATTATAAGTAACTATATAGAATTATAGGTTTTCGCACTTGTGCATGGTTATCTGGTTAAAAATTATTTTTCTATAGTGTATTTTATCGTTGTAAAATGAATAAAAAAATATAACCACATAAGCAGATAAGCAGATAACAAGACCAGTGTAACCACACTCATTATGAATGTGTATTTTCCAGTGCATGAATTTTTACTCTTAACTTAATATGTATATGTATAAGTTTGACAGCAGAAATTGGCTTTTGTTAGTTTAAGTTGTCAGGTTAATGTTAGTTTTATAAAAAGTCAATACATGAGTAGTAACTTGTGAACGTGGTGTAGGACGGCCTCATTTGTGTCCAGTTAGGGTTTTCTAAAACAAAGTATTAGTTGTTACCGGACATATGTATTTAGAAATACAGATTGCTTGCCGTAGGGTTGTTCAATCATACGAACGGTAATTTTAAGCTTAAGAAGCGCCAAAGCAAAAGTTGCTATCCGATGAGTGTTTAGTACTTAGTAGATATGCAAAATATTTTAACCGGTACTTACGCTTTTTTCATAATTCCGGGTAATCTAGTCACTAACTTTACATGAAGACGGTTTTGTTTTGCTCATATTTAAGGATAGGTTGCTCTATTTTTCCCAGAAGCAAAACTTTTTGTAGACGTAGTAAGCTAAGTCAACAAAAACAAATATCTATTAATTAACGGAATAAGCTCAATTCGGTCAATTTTTAGTTAGGGGGGGGGGAGCATATTAAGAACTTAATAGCTTTTAGTCTTTAAAGATACATACATAGCTGCGGCTAGAATGGGGCACGTTTTAATATAAAATCGTTAGTTTGGTGGAAGAACGCCATAAATCAATAATAACTAAAAACATTCAAAATATCAATATTAATATAAAACTTAATCGAGAGGACGAAGTTGTTACCAAACTCGTAATTTGGTTCCTTATTATGAAGTTCTTCCACTAAATGAGCGCCGCTTATATTTTTGATTAGAAGGAAACAAAAAACACTATTCCGGTTCCGGTTATTATTTGCAATTTTAGATGTGTATGTATACAATTTTGTAACGAATATTATATTGGTAGAAGCTGATGAGATAATCGGTCAGCCAGTAAAAACGAAATAAGACAGATGACATTTTGTCTAAAACAAAGCCAAGAGTACATACATATGAGGTTATACATGCTATGTACATATATCGTGCTCCGTATGCAATACCCCCGCATATCCCCGCCAAATGCAATACCACCTAAAAGATAGTCCGAAAATTTCGCAAAGAGCGAAGCAACTTATTGAATGGTTTGCTAACTAAACATAACTATTAAATTTGTGAAGTAGGGAAGCGTTGAGACGGTGTAAACAAAATAAATTTTTGTCTATGCCACCTCATAACATTTGGCAGATACGACGAGGTATTGCGTGCCAAAAGAGACGACATTCCAAGGCTGTATCCTGTCGAAATGCTTAGCAGTTGTGGATTATAAATTCTAGCAATCCAAACCGTCGATTCTCATTTATGTAGATACATTATTCGTTCAGGGGCGAAAGTTACGAGTCAGGTTGAATATAAAATAACTATTCATTTATTATTGAAGGAAACGGGCGCACCAGAAACCAGAAACCAGAAAAATTAAGTTCCTGTCGCAAAACAATCGAAGTGAATGGATCTATTTAAACACTTTGCATATATCTTTTCTATAGTAATCCATTAAGTGGGCATGCGCTCTTATCGGAGGTGTATAAAATATCCTATAAATATATATATCTACGCTTGTACCGAGAAACTAACTATAAATATAGATATGACAAAAGTACAATGAAAGCAACAAAATCAACTATTACACAAACTGAAATACCTACAAACAACATACATACATACACACACACACAAGCACAAAACGTGTGGTTTAAATAACTTTACTATTTTTGTTGGAACGTTAAGCTAAGTGTATACATAAATAAATATGTATTAAAAAAAACTAAAACCATACTCAGCACGAATAAAATTCTCAGCAAGACTTAAAATTTAAAGTATTACCTACATA